TGGGTGGGGTGGGCAGGGAAGGAGGGAGAGGGATAGGGTGAGCCACGTGCCTGCGGGTGCCCAGCTCCCAGCCAATGGACAGTGAACACAGCCCCACCCATCCCCCTTAGGAGGAACAGGATCACTTGGGCCTAGGAAAGTGCCCACTGCTGCTTAAATGGCCATAGTGCTGCTGCTGCCCACCTGGGCTGTCCGCTCCTAGGTCCTGGAGCCACTGGCCATTTGTACAGTTTGAAAAGTCCAGGCAGGAGAACCAGAGGGTGCAGGGAGAGCTGCAGGCTGCTCGCCTCCAGGGAGAGAAGTGGTTGGGGACTGAAGATGGAGTGAGCGGGCCCTTAAGGGTACCAGCTGTGGCCTACTAGCAGAGAGAGCACACGGACACACCGCATGGCGGTGCTCACTCAGGGCTCCCGTGCAGGAGCCTAGGCCTTGCAACGAAGGTGGCAGGCAGAGACATGCAGGTCTTGTGTCCTAAAGAGGAAATCCATGGCCCCGATTCACCCACCTCCCTCCTCCCATTGATTGAGATTTCTCTGTCAATGGCCAGGGCTCGATGAAAACGCTGACCAAGTATCAGTGGGATTCGCCCTCGGGCTCACCTGGGCTAGGCCCTCCTGCTGGAGAGGAATAGGCCTCCTCAGGAAAGGAAGTGACTAGTCCAAGGTCATGTATAGCCGTACCCATACCTGGCTCCCCAGGGTGGTTTGCGGGAGGGAGGCAGGCCTGTCCCCAAGGAGCTTTCTTAGCAGAGTCCATCCGTGTACTGGTCAGGGCCCCCAGGGCGGGCCAAGGCAGAACACTGACTGAGCCCCCGCTGTGACAGGCCCTGTGCCACACTTGGTCCTTTTTAACCCTTACCACAGCCCAAGGAGCCAGGTGGAATTACCCGTCATATAGATGAGGAAAGAAGCTCTAAGATTAGATCACTCCTTGAAGGTAATAGAGCTAATTGCTGGCAGGGAAAGGATTCAAACTCCAGCCTGGCGGACTCCAGAGCCCAGCTCCTTCCAGGCCCCAGCGCTTTCTCCAGTTGCTCCAGACCCACAAGTTGTCAGGGCTGAAGGCCTGAGTCCTTGGGGCTTCTATTCCTACCCTGTCCTGGTTGGGGAAATTGAAGCAGAGGGAGAAAGGACTTGCCCAAGGTCATTCGGCAAGCTCGCCAAGACATGGAGCAGGGGGACCAGCAGTTAGCCTAATGGGTATGTCGCTGGGCTCTCACGTAGTCGACCGTGGTTCGCGTCCCAGACCCGGTGGCTTAAACTCACACCAGGCATGTGTGCGTGCGTGCCCAAGATCCTGGGAGGAGAATGGAGGAGAAGGGATTGCAGCATGACAATCCCCTCTGGGGGGTGATTTCTCGCTTTCTGTCTCTATGTCTCTCTCTGTCTGTCGAGTGCACGTGCCCTATAGCAAAAAACTCTCAAAAAAAAAAAAAAAAAGACTTGGAGCAGGTCTCCCCTTTTCAGGCCAGACTCTGGCCACAACCACCGTCCCCCACCGCTGTCAGTCTCAGAACTGCTGGCTGTTCTGTGCTTTCTGTGGCTCCTTGGAGAGAAAAGTGTGACCCTCTGGAGCAGGGGTCTCTTCTGGAATGGGGAGCAAGAGTTGGCAGTGGTAGCTGAGGGGAGAGGGAGAGGTGGGACTGGAACTTGGCCTATTGGTGGTGGAGGAGGGGGCGGGGGCGATGCTTATCTGTGCGGGGCAGGAAGCACCCGCGCCAGTGACACCCCAGCAAAAGGTGGCTGCTCCTTGGCCCCCACTGGGGGAAGGGAGGATGTGGCGGGGGGGGGGGGTGGTGGGGGAGATGGGTGCCC